CAAACACAGATCGCCTGTGACTCAACTCCCCTCTCACAGACTGTTACTATGGACGCGGCCGGGAGGGGAGGTGAGTCACAGGACCCGCCCCCTCACTGAGAATACCGTCGGCAGTGTGAGGCCCCGGTGTTCTAACACCAGGACCCTGCACTGCTCCATATTGCAGGACCGGACCCCACTGAGGCTGTGGGGGTGCCCAGGACCGGACCACACTGGGCCCCCCCACAGCCTCAGGCCCCGGTGCGGCGGCACCGGGTGCACCGGCGGTAGTTCCGCCACTGCATACCAACACTGGTAAACCAGATCTGGGTGTCTAAGCTTCAATAAACTCTGGTCACAAGAAGGTTGGGTGTCAGCATTCACTGTACATTATGCAAATTTGCCTGTATATTTTTCTTCTACAGATAGTGAAAACTGCCAGATGTGTCCTGAAGATCAATGGCCTAATGAGGCTAGAAATATTTGTGTTGCCAAACTTTATGAGTATTTGTCATATGAGAAGGACATTGTGGTTGTATTTTTTTCTGCATCTTCGGTCGTATCTTCCACTAAATCTCTCTGTATACTTGGAATATTTTTTTGGTTTCGGAACACTCCCATAGTCAGAGCCAATAACAGGAACCTCAGCTTCATTCTGCTCTTCTCTCTCATGCTGAGTTTCCTTTCTGTGTTCCTGTTCCTTGGACATCCGGTGGATATAACTTGTATGCTGCAACAAGTCTTCTTTGGAATTGTCTTCACAGTCTCACTGTCTTCTATCCTAGCCAAAACCATCATGGTTGTTATTGCTTTTAAAGCCACCAGACCTGGAAGCTCCTGTAGGAAATGGGTGGGAGTCAAACTTCCCAATACAGTCCTGTTGTTCTGCTCATTAATTCAGGTTATGATTGGTGTTTTCTGGTTGTCCATCTCTCCACCATTTCAAGTGTATGACATGCACTCTTCTCCTGGGAAGATCATCATTCAGTGTAATGAAGGGTCAGTTATCGGGTTCTACTCTGTGTTGGGTTATATGGGGCTTCTGGCAGCTGTGAGTTTTGTTCTGGCTTTCATGGTGAGGACATTACCAGACAGTTTTAATGAGGCCAAGTACATCACCTTCAGCATGCTGGTCTTCTGCAGTGTCTGGATTGCCATGATTCCGGCCTATCTAAGTACGAGAGGAAAGTATACAGTAGCAGTGGAGATATTCGCCATACTGACTTCTAGTGCTGGAATATTAGTGTGTATATTTTTACCAAAATTGTATATTCTACTTTTAAAACCTGAGCTGAACACAAGGAAATCTGTCCTGGCAGGAAGAATGATATAAAATATTTAGGGCTGTGGAAATTAACAATTAATTCCTCGATTAATCGTTAAACTTTTTGATCGATTACATTTTTTAAAATTGAAAATGAAAAGACTCACCTCTCCGCCGGCTTCCCGCCGGAGATCCGGTGACGTCACGGACATCAACGTCACCGGACTTCTCCCCCCGTTCCCCAAGTGGCTCCATCGGCTAATGAAGGGAAGGGGGAGGAGTCAGGTGACATCGATGTCAGTGATGTCACCGGACTCCTCCCCCCTTCCCTTCGTTAGCCGACGGAGCCACTTGGGCCGTTGAGTTTGCCCAAGAGGCACCAAGCTTCTGTCTTGTCTTAAACTTATATACATGCACTATGTGGCTCTCCATTAACCCCCCCATCTCGCTCCCAGAAATGTGCCCATTGAAATTTACTAATATTATGCTGCAATCAGGTCCTTACATGAAATGGAATGGACAGGTGCTGCTACTTCAAATATTAAGCTAATGCTTATTTTTAAATCACCCTTAGGGCTTTGCTGTTTTACTATACTATGTAAATACATTTGTAATCCAGCACGTTATTATTCTGAGTTGCCCCACTCAAGCGGCGGCCATATTGAGTGGGGCACGTGAGATTAATAACGTGCTGGATTAGTGTGATCCTAGTTCATTTTATTACTTCATTGCTGTGCTGTATGTGTATAGGCCAATGTAGTTGTATCTGTATGTGCGCTATAATTAATCGATTAAGCGATTTAAAAAAAATTTGATTAATCGAACACGAAAATTTTAATCATTACCAGCCCTAAAAATATTCTAATCTTAATACATATACTCATAAAATAACACACAATTATTGTCTTGTATTGTTAGTGTTCTTGCTAACTGAACCTTTTTTGTCAATATATTAGTCATGAATTTGAAGTGAATTAATTAAATGAGAAATCACTTTAAACCAAATTAAATGTATCCTTCTTGCCTCTTTCACTTGGCATAACCTAACCTCCCCTGTTACTTTTATGCATACTTTACTTAATCCAATGGCTGTTGTTCTGCTGTTTATTTAAAGTCAGTGGGGCTAGCGTGCATTTGTCCTGGCAATGCCTGCATAGTAGTGCTGCATAGCCATCTGTGAACTTTGTCTTCGGGCTGTGTCCTAAGGCTGCAGATAGCCGTATAAAAGTCTAAAGGGCTGTATTGTGCTGGTGTCTCCAGGACTTTAAAGACCTGCAGTGCAGGATGTAAAAATAAAGCAAATCCCCAGCCACTGGATTGAGGTAAGTATGCATTTTTAGAGGAGGAGGATGGATTAGCATATGTCAGGGGAAGAGGCAAAAATTATAAATGCAATCTGATTTAAAGTGCACATTTTCTTTAACTGCTTTGGGATGCCTACTGTAAAAACATCCTGTCCTGATGCATTTATACCAAGAACACAGCTTCTGCTGCCATATCGCTTGTATGGTGCAGCAGAATGTACCACCCTCCACCGTTGCCGCCAGCTACCCCGGGTTCCGATGTTACCTGTGCAGCTCCGGGACTGGCACGATGGGTCTCCCCTCACGGTGGGTCTCCCCTCATGATGGGTTTCCCCTCACGATGGGTCTCCCCTCACGATGGGTCTCCCCTCACCAATCGAAGGGAGATCAGCAAGCTCCTAGCCGCTGATCTTTCCTCCGATCACTGGACCCAGAAGTGATGTGTATTACATCACTTCCAGTGTCACTGTTTATATTTCTCAGCTTCTGCAGCCAGATGAAGAAGCTTGTGAAGCAGATTGCTTCTTCATCAGCCTCTTTGGGGTCCCTAGGTGACATTAGGAGTCTGAAAGACCCCTGATGTCTCCATAAAGAGGACCTGCCATATCATATTTGCTTACATAGGGGTTTGTTAGTCCCCTACTTAAAGTTAAGTTAAGTTAAAAAAATTAGCAGATACAGTTAAGATGATATGTCATAATAAAACCACTGCGCTATGTGAATGTATAATAAGCTGCTGTGCTAATAAAATAGTGAAAACACTGTTCCCAATATCGTGAAACAAGTGACACTGTGCTAAAATAAATTAAAATTAAAAACTCCTTTGTGTTTGTGTTTGATTCATCCATTAAATGTTAGCATGTGTGTGTGCATCCCTCCTCCTAGATCCAAAATCAGTAATGCAACATGGTTATACAAATGTGAAAACAAAGCCTTCCCATTAAGTTAAATAGTATCAATATACACTGAGTGGCCAGATTATTATAACCACCCCATCAGTACTTTGTTGGGCCATGAGATGACTCCACGGGATGACTTCGTTGGGGCGCCTCGTGACTCCACAAGATGATGAAAGGTGATGCAAGGAATCTGACACTGCACTGTTGCCCTTCTGTTGTCTTGTACCAGTCTTGCCACTCTCCGTTCTGCCCTAGCATTGACTAGTCGCTGACGGCCACAATTCCCACGTTCAGACCCAGATTTTCGGCTGACAGTCCAGTCTTTAAACACTTTAACAACAGCTGCTCTTGAACATTTAGCAAAACGCCTCTGTTCACGAACAAATTCGGTTCGCGACCAGGAAGATTGTCACAATTTTGCCTCCATTCGCGAACTCTGCCTCGTGTGACGAACACGACCTCGGCCATCTTCCCTGCTCTGAAACATGGTCGTGGCTTCCCGTACCCGAGATTGCAGTCGGAGACAAGGCTGTGGACACATACTGTGAAGCTTTTTTTGTGGGCTTTGTAGCACAGTACTGTACAGTATTACTGCATTCAATCCAGCAAGGCTCCCAAGAAAGTGCAGAGCAAGCATAGTGGGAAAAAGAAAGCGCAGAGCATTAATGAAGTTGACAAGAATGTGCAGAGCGTTATTGAAGGTGACAAGAATGTGCCGAGCAATAATGGTGGTAAAAAGAAAATTGTGGTTAATTTTTTTTTCCATATGGTTCAGAACGTATTAACCTGATTTACATTGAACCCTATGGGAAAATGTGATTCGGTTCACAACCAATTTGGTTCGCGACCAGAATCGTGGAACCAATTAAGTTTGTGAACCGAGGTACCACTGTATATATATATATATATATATATATATATACCAGATCAAAACAAATGTCCAATAAATAATCCTAGTGATGGTTTCCAATCTCTCCTAGTAGTCAGTATTATATGGCAATCTCCTTGATCTTCATCTTCATCTTGATCTTGTGATATAAAACATCTGAAATGTGCAGTCACCAGCTGTTTGTGGTCGCCTTTTTACGGGCTGTCCAAAGATTGCTTAATTACTCCTCTCTTTCATCTGTGGTGTATCCGTCCAGGTTGCCAATTTCGAATGTTCCCAAATCACCTCTATCAGATCCTTTATGATCCTATGTAGCGATACATCCTTTGTGCGGTTTACTTCTTTCCTCTTATTGAAATTGGTCACCAATAGCTCAGGTATATTAAAAAGTGCTCTCCATTGTGCAGTATTTTAATAAAACGTTAAGTTTTTTGGGAACTTTTTTTAACGTAACTTTATTGTTATAACATATGGGACTAAGAAGCCCCCTATGTGCTTATGTGATAGCAAAGACGATGTGGCAGGTCCTCTTTATGGAGACATCAAGGGTCTTTAAGACCCTTAATATCACCCCTGAAACCCCCAAAGAAGCTGATGAAGTGGAGATCTGCTTTATCAGCTTCTCTCCAGCTTCTGTAGCCGGAGAGTGACAGCAGAATGTGGAAGTGATGTAATATACATCACTTCCTGCATTTGGGGACTTGTAAAGGAGATGGAGGGAGATTGTGTGCTGATCTCCCTCTGATCCCATCACAGACTTGCTGTGTCGGTCCTCGCCCGCCCCGGGCACAGTGTAGCCCGGAGCAGCGCTGCGGAGGGTAGGGCACACTTACCGGCATCTCATACAAGTGATCCAGCGGCTCTATAGCCACCAGACTGCTTGTATGTAAACAGGCATCGCTGCCTGTTTTACATTTTGACAGTTTCCTGCTTGTGTGCTCCATGCACATTTGAGAAGGTGACAAGGATGGTGAGCCAGGACAGTGCATGCATCAGTGACACTATCCTTCTTGTGCTACTTCTGGAGCATACTCTGCGGGGAATTATGGATAGGGCACTTGAGGCAGAACAGCGGGAGGAAGAGGAGGACTTCCTTACCTCGCAAGGCCACCTATATGCAGAAACTATTCCGGCAGGGCCACAGATCAAAAAGGAGGATGAGGAGGATTATGGAAGCTGTGGGGCATTGAAGCAGAGGATGATATAAAGCAGTGTTCAATGGAGGGTTTTTTGTCCACAGACACCCAAGGAGTAGTACGTGGCTGGGAGGAGGTAGTGCACACTAGTGTCATCTTCAGTGACCCTGAAGACTCGGAATATCATGCCTCCTCAAACACATGGAGAGGGATCATTACTGGTTGGCAACCCTTCTTGATCCACATTACACGCATAAAGCTGCAGAGCTCATCCTGCCCTCACAGGGGGAGCACAGGATGAAACAACTTGAGGATGCGTTGAAGGGAAACTTGTGTAACACCTTTCCAGACATTGCTAGGTTACCAAGCGATGAAAGAAGTGCTTCTGAGGCTTTGGTTGGTCAAAGGAAGAACAGTGGGGAAGGGGGCCACCTGACTAATGCCTTTAGAAATGTTTTCAGTCCACAGCGCCCAGACATGTTAGCTTTATGCACCCATCAGCAGCAACAGCATCATATGGTGCAGAATTACCTGAGGGCAAGAGCAGACATGGAGAGCTTTCCAACAGACGATCCACTGGCTTACTGGGTCTTGAGTATGGATCACTGGTCAGAACTTACCCAATATGCAATGGAGCTACTGGGCTGCCCTGCATCCAGCATGCTTTCTGAACGGACAGTCAGTGCTGCTGGAGGTTTTGTGACAGATAAAAAAGTGCATCTGTCCATAAACTCTGTTGACCGGCTGACATTTATCAAAATGAATCAGTCTTGGATCAGCAGAAGCTATCAATCCCCAGATGCCGATGTAACCAATTAAATGTGTCGGGGATCGAGGATCTCTGAAGACTGCCTGGGCTGCCTAACTTTGTGGGTGATTATTCTATCTTTAAGTAATGTTCTTGGTTTAGTGCACCACCACCACCCAAGGCCCAATTTTTCCACACCCGCATGTGACAGGTGCATATAATTTGAATGTTTTGAGCAGGGTACATTCCTGCACTCACCAAGAATAACTCTGAAGGGTTATGGTGTGAAGGCACAGCCGACACTAAAGGCCCAATTGTCACCTGTTGTTACTTTCATCCAACATCTGCAAAAGAGACACTAGAATTTAGAATTGAGTGTCCTAACATATGACCTCTTCATACAGGCTGCCTCCCCAAGCAGTTGTTTACAAGATTAAGGGAAAACCAATTACCAGCAATTGAAATGTCATTTTTTTCTTTATCAGTGTCACTTTTTGCTTCAGCAGGTTCTATACATCCTACAGATCCACCACTTTACGGGCCATTTAAGGGGACCCCCCAGGCACGATATGTAAATGATTTTTTCATTTTTATTGTTACCCTTTAAGTGATGTTAAAATCACAGCTGCTTTAAAAACGGTATTTAAAAAAAAAAATTGATTCATGTCCCCCAGGGCAGTACCCAGATCCCCATACCCTTTGTATGGCCAATAAATAGCATACAAGGCTTCAAAATGGGGACATTTAATTTTAAAGTTCTACCTCCATATACTTGCATTGAGTTTGAGTTCAAATTCAAACTTTTCCCATGTTCTAAAGTTTGAATTTAAACCGAACACGGGGGTGTTCGGCTCATCACTATTACTTATTGCTGACTTCATTAGTATGCTAAAGCCAGTTGTCATGCCATATACTAAAGATCTTCTTTTGGGCATAAGCTAAAGTGGCAAACTGACTGTACAAAGGATTAGAATGTGATGTTATTACAGGCAGCATTTTGTAATGTCAGAGCGGGTGTGGACTCAGGAGATAACACTACATGAACATTTAACAAATTTACTTACCTAAACTTTCCAGACACCAAGGAAAGATTTCAGTTACCATCCAATCACTTTTTTGAGAAAGTTATGATTGTTCACTTTGGACCAATCATAGGTTCCTCATGTAAGTGAATGAGAGTAACTATGATAAATAACACTAGGCCAGGGAAAAAAAGGGAGGTCCATCTTCGGGAAACCAGAGAGAGTCCAGGAATTTAACACCACAAGGATTGGTAATATATATAATATCTGGTTGGCTCTTTATTAAGCATCAACTTTTTGATTTATATTATGTTTGATGAATGCATTGACTTTTGTTTGTTAAATATATAGTATGTCTTCCATGGTGCAGGGGCTTTGTCATTTGATATTTGCTGTGTTAGTCTTTGTTAGATGATAAAAGGGCAAAAAGGACTGTTAACTTCAAATGTTGTGTAAAATGTCCTTATCTATAATCAAGCTGTACATATATAATTTGGCCTACAAAAAATTATGTTTAACCCTGCAGTCTTTTAATATTGGAACTGAACTACAACACAGCTTTGATATGTTATGTCCTAGGTCAGCATATATTTGTATACATTAAAATGATAG